GCCAAATTTTCCATCCTCATAAACAGGAATTCAATGCTTCCCGAACAATGACTACCCGTTTCCCCCTCCCTTCTGCCCCCGGTAAACCAAAACCATTTCCATTCATCTAGTTTCCCTGCCTCCTTACCTTCTCATCTTTGTTTTAAAGTAATTGTTGACTGTTTGGTCTTGTATAGGTGATGTTTTAAAGGAGCACAGTACTCACAGGTGATATTCATTATTTTTGTGAGCCAATTTGTTATTTAGCTACAAGGTGATCTCAGGGGTTAGTTCCGGCTCGAGGTTTGAAGAATATCTCAGGGCAATAGTGTTGGGGAGTCCTCCAGTCTCAACCAGTCCAGTAGGTGTGGCTTTTTTTTGTTTGTTTTTAGGAATTTGAGATTCTGTTCCACATTCTTCTCCCATTCTATCAGGCCACTATTGCGGCCTTGATTAGAACAGTTGGTAGTAGTAGCTGGACACCATCTAGTTCTTCCAGTCATGTTATACGTATATATTACAACAACAACAAAATAACTTTCCTTGTATTATGTCATTCAGTCAATGTCCTCAAGTATGGGTTGAGGCCCCATTTTACAGAGCAGGAAACTGAGGCCCAGAGAGAGAGAGAGAGACTGGAGACAGAAGAGTCTGTCAGGGAGGGTAGAAGGAGGGAGGTCATCAGGGGCAGCCACGGCCTCTGATTGTCCCTGTCATTGAAGTCTGTGCCAAGGGGCGTGGGGAGGTGCCTAGGGGAGGACCTTGCTCAGTGCTCCCTCTCCCTCCCCAGCCAGAAGAGCCGAACACAGAGGGACAGAGGAGCCCCCCGAAATGTCGCTCCCTGGATGCAAGCCCCGGGTCCTGCCCTTCCTCTGCTTCTGCCTTCTGGTCCTGGCCTGCGTAGTGGGTGAGGAGGAGTGGGGGGTGGCTGTGGGGACCCTGTAGTCTAGTGGGGTGTGAGCGTGACTGTTCATATGGTGTGCGTGTCTGCAGACATGTGGGTATGGAGTTTGTGTGCTTTGTGGGGTGTGTGTGTGTGTGTCTAGGAGTGTTGGTAGCTATGTGTCATGTGTACATGGGGCTGGTGTGGTAGAGGTCATAGGTGTGCATTTGTGTGTGTATAAGTAAAAGAGTATGTGGTTGTGCTCTGTGTCTGTGGGTGTGTGTGTTCATCCGTGAACATGCATGTGTGTGTCTCTAAGGGGTATATGTATGCAACAGATTGCAGCATTTCTATTTGTGTGGCCACACGTGTGAGGGTGTCTGTGATTGCGTACTGATATGTGAATACGTCTACATTTTTCATATGCATAAAACATAAAATGTATAAACAGAATGCATTAAATTTCATATTTAAAAATTAAAATTTTCATATTCATGAAAGCATCATTTAACGTATATCCAAATTCAAGCCAAACCCCTTGCCACCAAGTTGATTCTGACTCATAGCAACTCTGTAGAATAGAGTAGAACTGCCCCATAGTGTTTCCAAGGCTATCAACCTTTACCGAAGCAGATTGCCACATCTTTCTCTTGTGGAGCAGCTGGTGGGTTCAAACTGTCAACGTTTCGGTTAGCAGTGGTTAGCAGACCAGCGCTTAACCACTGCCCCACTAGGGCTTCTTAATGTGTCTACAATATTCTAGGTACTGTTCTAAGTGTCTTATATTTTATGATCCCCAATGAGGAAGGCACTACTATTACCCAACTCTACAGAGGGAGAGTAGTCCCTGGGTGATGCAAATGGTTAAGCTCTCAACTACAAGCCAAAAGTTCGGCAGTTCAAATCCACCCAGAGGTGCCTCAGAAGACAAGCCTGGCAATCTGCTTCCGAGAGGTCACAGCCTTGGAAACCCTGTGGAGCAGTTCTACTCTGCACACATGTGGTCGCCATGAGTCGGAGTCCACTCAATGACAGCTAACACCACCACCACAGGTGGGTCTGCGCGAGGAAGCAACTTGTGATCCCAGGCAGAACCTCTGGCCCACCAGGAGGAATTGACAGCGTATCTCTAAGACTTCATCCACCCCTGGGGGCAGAAAGTTGTCCCATGCCCTCTCCACTGCTGAGGAAGTTCACAGGAGAACTGAGGGAGGGGGGATGTTCCCAGCAATAAGATCAGGAGGTGGAAGGGGGTGTCGGGAGGGGGAGAGGGAGATGGGGTTACAGAGGGAGAACACACTAGGCAGACAGAGGGGTGACAGGCTGTCATGGGCACAGAGGATGAACCGAGCTGACCGATGGCTGACGGGGGCCAGTGGTTGGGGGAGAGAGAAAGCAAAGGCAGGTGGTGAGAGGACGGGCAAGGGACTGCCCTGGCCCCCAGGAGTGGAAGTGAGAGTGAGCCTGGAGGACAGGGCAGGAGAAGGGCTCTGGGGCCCGGCCCACCCAAGCTGCCCTCTGCTCCCACCTAGTGTCCCAGAGCGAAGGGCCTGCAGGGACCCCGAGCACCCTGACCCCCAGGCTGGAGGGGAGTCGCTGGAGCCAGGTGCGGAGCAAAGTGAAGGAACTGGTGGAGCCGATGGTGACCAGGGCCAGAGATAGGTGGCAGAAGTTCTGGTGAGGATGCGTCCTAGCTGGGTGGGGAGGGAGCTGGGGGCCAGGACTTCTGGGTCTCAGGGAGGAGGGGGCTGGGGGTCTGGACTCCTGGGTCTGTGGGAGGAGGGGACTTGTGGCCAGGACTCCTGGGTCTGAGGGAGGAGGGGGCTGGGGATCCGGACTCCTGGGTCTGAGGGAGGAGGGAGCTGGGGACCTAGACTCTTGGGTCTGAGGGAGGAGGGGCTGGGGGCCTGGACTCCTGGGTCTGAGGGAGGAGGGGGCTGGGGATTGGGACTCCTGGTCTGAGGGAGGAGGGGCAGGGGGCCTGGATTCCTGGGTCTGAGGGAGGAAGAGAGGGTGGGGTTTGAAAGGAGTGAGGGGTAGGAGTTGGGAGCAGAGACCCCTGAGTCAGAGGATGCAGTAGTGAATGGTGCAGAATTTTGAGGGGCAGCTGGGGTCTTGGTAGTGACGCCCCTTCCCCGCAGGGGCCCCTGGACCTTCAAGGGCTTTGTGCAGACCTACTATAATGACCACCTGAAGGACCTGGGCCCCCGCACCAAGGCCTGGCTCCACAGCTCCAAGGACACCCTGCTGGACAAGGCCCACAGCCTATGCCCCCGGCTCCTCTGCGGGGAGAAGGACCAGGATTAAAGCGCCCACGGAATGACCCCTGCCCTCCTACCTCCTGCAGCGAAGTCCAGAATAAAGAAAAGTTTATCTCTCTGTGTCTGTCCAGATCCCACCCCTATGGGGCCAGAGATAACCCAACTCACCCACCCTTGCGGTTAACGCATTAATGAGTAGAGCAAGTGCCACCTAGCCGGGGAGGGACAGTGAGGGAGCTTGGAGGGGGACCACGTGGTACCACGGGGTTCTGAGACCTGCCATTGGGGGCTTGTGGGGGACATCATGGCTCCTCAGTTTGGGATAAAGAGTGGGGAGCAAGTGGGGGTCAGCATATCCCAACAGTGTCCACTTACCTGAACTCTGCCCTCACTTTCCGCTTCCGACTCCAGACCCCACTCTATGGGCACCCAGAACTCCCAAGCCCCCCCAGCCCACAGAGCCTGTCTCTCTCAGGGGTGAATTTTCAGAGTAGGGGCTTCCTGTGGCTTAACCTCAGGGATGTCCCTGCCCTTTTGGCCCATACCCCACCCCCTCAGCCTCCCTGTTGGCCAGGACTTTGGCCTAGGCTGGAAGTGAGGGCAGCAGCTGTGGAGGGGAGGTGGATCTGAAGAGCTATAAAGCTGTTTTCTGCCCCCTGGGAGCTGGTGAGGACAATCCGCCAGAGTCCGGTAAGGCGGACAGAGGTGGGGGGCGGGTGGTAGTCAGCAGGGAGGGGGGCCACCCCCTAATTCATGGCAACTTCATGTGTGTGAGAGAACTGTGCTCCGGAGATTTTTCAGTGGCTGATTTTTCAGAAGTAGATCACCAGGCCTTTCTTCTAAGGCCCCTCTGGGTGGACTTCCCACGCCAACATTTTGGTTAGCTGCAGGCTCAGCGTGTTATCTGTTTGTACCACCCAGGGATGGGGCAAAGATTGTTAAGTCAGAAATGGCAAGAACTACCACAAGAGAATTGGTGTTGGAATCACTGGAATGACAGAATTTAGAATCATAGACTCTTTGTTTGTGCTGTTCCCCCTCCCGGGGACAGTTGGGGTTGGGATGAAGATTAAATGAGCTAATGCAGGTAGAACAGGGCCTGGCAAAGCAGAAACACGCTTGATCTAAGTGTTGGTTCTTAACAGTGTCTGTGGTTCACTCCCGAACTGACTTGGTGCCAGCTGATATGTTATCTCTCCTGAGACCTTCCTAGACTACACAGACACCCTGCCCCCTTCCAGAGCACTTGTCACTGTGTGACACTCTGTATTTTCCTAATTTAATATTGTTTACATTTCTGTTCCACTTCACCCCAGAAGGGCTGCTGTGTCCAGAACTTTCCTCGGCACATAACTTGTTGCTATGGAGGTGATGCTGCCACACAGCAACTCCATGTATTACACAGTAGAATTGCTCCAAATGGTTTTCTTGGCTGTAATCTTCATGTAAGCAGATTGCCAGGCCTTTCTTACACAGTGCCGCTGGATAGGTTCAGTCCTTCAACCTTTATGTTAATAGCTGAGTGCAAAGTGTTTGTTCCACCCATGGACCTTTTGGTACATAGTAAAACCCGTTGCCGTCGAGTCGATTCTAACTCATAGCGACCCTGTAGGACAGAGTAGAACTGCCCCATAGGGTTTCCAAGGCTGGAATCTTTATGGAAGCAGACTGCCTCATCTTTCTCCCGCCAAGCCGCTGGGTGGCTTCAAACCTTATAGTGGGTGCTCAATAAATACTTCTTGAACGACTGAATGAAGGAGTACATGCTAGAATTTAAAATTTTTAAACTGGAGAATTGGAGAATGTTAGAAAGTGAGGCCCAAGGATGGCACCCGGCCCAAGTCACCCAGCTCTCAACTTGACTCAGGCAGGGAGGGGACGGGGGTGCAGGGTCCCAGTGCCTGACTGGGTCCGGACCCCAGGAACAGAGGCCACTGGTGACGATGGGGGGGTGCTCGCCTCACAATACCTCCTCAGTATTCCAGGTTGGCTGACGTCATGGGCGCCCGATACCGACACCTCCTTGCCCTGTTCTTTGTACTCCTGGTGTTGGGACTTGGTGAGTGGTCTGCGGGGAGGGGGTCTTGGAGAAGGTGGGTGAACTCTGAGCATCTTCCCAACTCCCAGTCCTTTTCCAGACAGCTTTCCTAACCCCACTCCTTCCCTGCCTAGTTTCCACCCCGCTGCAAGCCCCTAAGCTCCCCAAACACGCTCTCCTCTCTCCCCTCCGCAATGCAGAAGTCCATGGGAACCGCCTGCCCCAGGCAGATGAGCCCGCCAGCCCTGCCCTGCTCGCCCAGGTGCAAGAATACCTCCATGGGTACTGGGATGCAGCCAAGAATGCCATGAAAGACCTGTATCACAAGTCCTACCTGCCCAGTGTAGACGAGAAAGTCAGGTATCTAGCCACCCCCTAGGGAACTAGTTCTACCACATCCAGGACCCAGAATTACAGCCCCAGGCCCTTCCTCCCTCAGACCTGGAAATCCCTGACCCTGGCCCCCTCCTCCCTCAGACCCAGGAGTCCAGACCCCCAGCCCCCTCCTCCCTCAGACCCAGGAGTCCAGGCCCCCAGCCCCCTCCTCCCTCAGACCCAGGAGTCCAGGCCTCAACCCCTCCTCCCTCAGACCCAGGAGTCTGGGCTGCAGCCCTTCCTCCCTCAGACCGTTTATCCTTTCTCCCCAGGGACATGTACAGCAAAGGCACAACAGCTATGTCCACCTACACTGGGATTTTCACTGACCAGCTCTTGTCTATGCTGAAGGGAGACTAGTAACAGCCAGGCCCCCCAATATACTGGGGAGGGCCGAACCCGGGCCCCAGCTCCCCAGCCCTGCTGACCTGCCCTTCCGACCCCGCCCCAACTCCCTAGCAGTTCTCAGTATCTTGTTCCCAACTCTAGCCTGAATTCTTATCAATAAAAGAAAAAAATCCAAGTTATTTGCTTTGATGTGGTTGCTTTTCTGAGGCCTTAGGGGCCAAGAAGGAGCACTGGTGGCACCACGGTTATCATCGGAGGCACACAGAAATGAAGCAGATTTGGCAGCACCCGCTGCTTGGCTCCTAACTGAAAGGCTGGCGGTTGGAGCCCATCAGTGACTCTGAGGGAGCAAAGACCTGGTGATCTGCTCATGTAAAGATTACAGCCTAGGAAACCCTGCGGGGCAGTTCTGGCTGTTGTCCTGTGTTACATAGGATCGCTATGAGTCGGAATCAACTCTATGGCACACAACAGCAGGGGCCAAGAGGGAGGCAATTGATTCAGCATTTACTGAGCACCTATTGTATGCATTTAGCCCTTACCTGGTCAGCAGGAATAAAGAGGTGAATAGCAACATACATAATCATGACAACAGTCAATAGTGGTTGCCCTTCTTCACTAAGGCTTGGCTTTCTCATCGGTAAAAGGACAATTGCAGAAACCGCTATCCTGCAGGGGCCTCTGGCAGTGGTTGTGCCCTGGGCTGACACTTTAAATGTGCCATCTCTATGAGTTGTCCTACCCTTCTCTGACAGACACGAGATGGGGTGCTTAGAAGTTACTGCTGAGTTTCAGAAGGCAGTGCTGAGGTTGGCTGGGACCCAAGAGGCTGGACCTGCAGCGACTGTGCTGTTTGGTGATTCCCAGACATTCATCCAAAGCACAATGCTGAGACCCTACCAGGCCCTGGGGACACAGCGGGCAAAAGACAAAGATCTTCAGCCTCTTATGTGGCCCCTCAAAAAGCCACGTTGGTTGGTCCCAGTTCCACGTGGTTTTAATGACTACAGCTTTGCTGTATGCTTTGTAGGAGTCCCTGGGTGGTGCAACTCTGGCTGCTAATTGAAAGGTTGGCAGTTTGAATCCACCAGAGGCACCTCGGAAGAAAGGCCTGGTGATCTGTTTCCTGTGATCTGTTTCAAGGTCACAGCCATGAACACCCTGTGGAGCACAGTACTTACCACATGTGGTCATTATGAGTTGGTATCATCTTGATGGCAACTGGTTAATATGATTAGTAATAGTTGTTGTCAGCTTGGTCCCCGGCTTGTGACGACCCCACGCACAAAGGAATGATACAAAATGCTGCCCGGTCCTACGCCATCGCCATGATCAGTGGTGGATCACAGCTTTGTGATCCATCGGCCCTCCGCTCACCGGGCCTTTCTTCCTAGTCCTGACAAATGGGTGGTGGCTGAGCATGAGGTGCCTTGGCTGAGAATTGAACTCCGGTCTCTCCTGCATGGAAGGCAAGAATTCTACCACCGAACCACCACTGCCTGGTTAGTAATGTTGTTTTGTGGTGGCCCCATAAGACAGAGTAGAACAGCCCTGTAAAGGGTTTCCTAGGCTGTAACCTTTATGGGAGCAGATTGCCAGTTCTTTTCTTCCTCAGAGCTGCTGAGTGGGTTCGAACCGATGACGTTTCGGTGAGCAGCCGAGCCCTTAACTGTTGTGCCACCAGGGCTTCTTGGTTAGTAATAGTAATTGAATTTAATGAGCTCCTGGTTAGGGCCGTGCTCTCTGTCCCATCCGAGACTATAAGGTGAGGAGTTCCTTGCCCACAGGTAGCTGTGGGGAGAGGCAGAGGATGAGCAAGAAGACCAGTAAATGGAGAGGATCCTTGCAGGGAGCAATATAGGCAATGAAGAAGAGTAAGTGAAGAGGTCAGGGCGTGGCCAAGAGATAGGTGATGGACTTGGGCCCTCGGGAGGGCACTGGTCAGAGAGGCTACATCACAAAGCGGCTCACAAAGCAGGGTGGTGAGAGCTGTCCTTGCCCAAAAATTGGGGGAAAGGGGCACTGACTTTGCCCCAGGTCAGGATGGGAGTAGTTAGTTATTGGAAGAGGGTATTTGGGAAGTGAGGTTCCTGGTGGGGCAAATGGTTAATGTGCCATGCTGCTGACAGAAAGTCCAGTCCACTCAGAGGTGCTGTGGAAGAAAGGCCTGGAGATCTACTTCTGAAAAATCAGCCACTGAAAATCTATGGAGCACAGTTCTACTCTGACACACGTGGGGTCGATACATGTCGGAAATGACTCCACAGCAACTGGTTATTTGAGACGTGGAGAACTGCCAGTAAAAAAAGCAAGGGCTCCTTGGTCTGAGGGGAAACAGTGCTGGGGTCTATGGTTGGAGGGGGCTGAGGCCTGGACTCCCAGGTACTGTGGGTGGAGGGGGCTGGGGGCCCAGACTCCCAGGTACTGTGGGAGCAAAGCTCTGTCCTGGCCCCTCGGGTCCCACGGGCAGGGCTGCTGCTCTCCAAGGCTCAGAGTCTGTATTTCTCCAGTCGGCTTGGCACTGCCCTCTGGCCAGGCTGTCAGCACTATTGGGGCACTTTTCCCAGGTCCTGAGACTGGGCAGCTGGGAGTCCATTTGAAAACAGGAGCCCCGGGGAGGAGTTGTGGGCAATGCCCCCAAATCCCCAGGGCCTGGGAAGAGCCGAGGCTGCCAAGCCCAGGGGGCGATGGGGAGGGGGGACCCTGGAGAAACAATCCCTGCTCTGTCCACTTGCTCCCCACACGCTCAAGCCAAAGCAAACCACTGCCCAGACCAGTTCTGCTTCCAACCAATCCTGGTGTCCTTCCCAGACTCCTCCTTCCTTTCTCAGACCCCCAACCTAGCTCCACTTCCTTCAGGACCCAGCCCCCAGACTTCTCCTCTCCCAGAACTCTAGAATCAGGGATCTCAGACCCTTCCTCCTTCAGACTTAGGAGTCTGGGTCTTCAACTCCTGCTCTCTGGACCCAAAAGTCCAGTCCCCGCCTCCCTTAAAACCGGAAATCACAGCTCCTGGTCGGTGTTGGGCGCCCCCTAGTGGACGTCAGAGTGGATCTGGTCTGTATTTCACTTAGGAGTTAGGAATGGAAGAATTTATTTGGTTACTCAACAGATACGAGGGAGGTCTTTGCAGGGAAGGGGGTTTCCAAGGGGCCCTCTTCAAGATCACAGTCTAGCTGAGAACTGCCTATGTTTCAATAAATCAGGACTGTGCGGTGTATGAGAGTCAGAGGACAGACTGGGGCATTTTGTATCTAGAACTGAGAGCAGAGATAGGTCACAAAGAAGCTGGATATTTCAAAGCCCTTCACTTGCCTGGGCCTTCCGTGGTCCTCAACCTAAATTTGTACAGGCAATTTTGTATTTTTTTAAAAAGGGGGCCCTGAAACATAAAAGCTGCAGACTCACAAAACCTCAATCTTCCCCTGTGTGGGTGCCTTCATCCTATATTCACTTCCTCACTGGACCATTTCACAGAACTTTCATCATTACCATTATTATCTGCAAGACAGCGGGACTGGGCAAGATTTCTAAGGTTCCTTCTTGCCCTTGTGTTGGCCGTCAGAGGTGTTGAATAGGAAAATTAATGACAGACATCTTATTTTAAGGTTTTTCTTATCCACAAACCAAATATTAACCATAAAAAGCCTGACCCACACTGCAAAAGCCTACCAGAAACTGCTTTACAGCAATATAAATTTGTCTTATCCTGCTAGAAAAGGATAGTTGTCAAACCAAACCCATTGCTATGGAGGCGGCTCTGACTCACAGCGACCCTATAGGACACGGTAGAACTGCCCCATAGGTTTCCAAAGCTGGAATCTTTACGGAAGCCGACAGCTACATTTTTCTTTCTCGGAGTGGCTGGTGGATTCAAACTGTCAACCTTTTGATTAGCAGCCGAGCACTTTTAACCACTGCACCACCAGGGCTCCTTAGTTGTTAAATCATTACCTCCTAATTTACATCTCATAAAGGCTCCTGGCTGCAGGTGGGTGAAGGGCCAAATTATTAGCAGTCAGGCCAGAAGCAAACTGACATCCATTGTCTCAGTAAAGGGGGAAGGCAGGGTTCGGTTCAATAAATCATGTTAAGATTAGCCAATAGTTGATCTTCTATATTTTCCCCTCTTCTTCTCTTTCGTTCTAGGGTAAAAACATCACAAAGTTTAGTAAAGCAAAAAGCAAGGTTTTATTGGGCATATGTTCAAAGAAGCAAAAGTAGGAAACAGACAAGTAAGCTGCCAGAGCCATGTCTGCCCGAGTCTGAGGGACTTTACAGAATCCTCAGTATAAATTAACATTACAAATGAGCAAAACCATTGAAAGCTTCATCTTTTCACAGATTGGCTGGAAACTGCTAAATCTCTGTAATTCTACATTTTAAATTGTCTTACTTAACAATCATTGGTACGGGCTTCAGTAACGACAATCAGGAGGGTCCTCACTGGTCCAACAAATCTTACTATGCACTAAATGCTAATAAAAAAAAAGATAAGAGTGTAAAGTATGTGGGTCTTTTGTGCTGTTTATGTTTTGTTTATGTGAAAGTTTCCCTAAAAGGTGTTTTCCAAGATAGTCCTATGTATTGTCTTTATACCTCAGGGCCCAGTTGATGTGTCTTTGTGAGTACAGCTCCAGCTGGGTCACATTCTAGGACAGGAAATAATGACTCCAATGTTATCTCCTAAGTCACTTTATGGAGCCCTGGTGGCATAGCGCTTAAGAGCTCAGCTGCTAACCAGTTCGAATCCACCAGCGGCTCCTTGGAAACTCTGCAGGGCAGTTCTACTCTGTCCTATAGGGTCGCTATGAGTCAGAATCGACTCGACGGCAGTGGGTAAGTCACTGTATAGCCTCACTGTACCTAGCTTCTTTGAGTCATTTGCTTTTTCTGGAATCAAAATGGTGTCCCTATATGCATATGGAAACCCTGGTGGCATAGTGGTTAAGAGCTATGACTGCTAACCAAAAGGTTGGCAGTTTGAATCCACCAGGTGCTCCTTGGAAACT